GTTACTGGGAGTATTAATGGTACAACTATGATGGAATAGAATTCATGGCCAGCCAGTTCCCACTTTGATTTGTTGGATAACTGAAACTAGTAACGTTCACAAAAGTTTCAATCTAAGAAGACCATATTATCCCGCTAAATTGGCCCATTAAGCGTGATTGGAAACACAGGCACATGCAAATTTCATGTGTTTTAGTTAACAGCAACTTAGTTATCTTTAATCTTGTCAAAGCAACAAGCGATGATGACAGAAACATGAGTGTCTCATTCATGACGTTGCTTTCCATTTATGGAAGATTAAGATCTAACTATTAATTATTATCAAGTTAAACTCTAGAACTTATTCCCCACTAATCACTGGGATTAGTTATTATTTTATTGTGTGCAAAAGATGTAAGAAATGTTGAGCGTGAGAGAGGAATAAATAAGCAATAATAAAGAGAGGAAATTAGCTTGAATAAGAAGGGTTGTTTAATGACACATAAGCCCTAACCCCATCAATAATGAAAAGCTTTGTCTGGTTGAAATGTTCCTTTGTACCCCATCCTTGAATAATTACATTTTCACTTTTGCTTTGTAGTGGGAAATGATAGTCAACTTTATTGCCACATTTACATGATTACATTTGATTTTGGGAGAGAGCTTATGCCTGTATTTGAACTATTGGAGATTCTAATAGGCATTTGGTGTAGGACTTGAGTCTTCTCAATCAATCTGATTTAAGAAGTTGTGTGTTGAGCTTGGGAAATACTCCACAGATTTTGATTAAAGGGTCTAATCAAACTCAAAAAGAAAAAAGTTTCAGGAGAACTAGTGCCAGACATTAGACACACCAATATCTAATTTCGATCATCCTTGGACCTAGTACATGGTTGCTTTACAATACACCTTAATGCATCTCAGCCAACCACAATTTATGTGTCCACAACATGCCTCTGTATCATTCTACGCATAATGTCATCATCTTCTTGTTCACATTGCCACCTTTCAGATTGACTTGTGTTCAGGACTTTTTGTTACATTCTTATCTATATCCGTACGCCTTTTAGTATTTTACAACCTTAATTTATCATATTCCATTGTTTGAATAATTCAATTTCATTATTAATTTGCGACATGGAATTTCACGACTCTGTTGATTCAAATATAACGTCCTGTCAAATTATTAGAAAAAAATAGTCTGTCCTAGTGGTACACCTGCATATATCAGCCCAACTTGACAATGGCCCCAAAAGAATAGGGCTTTACTATTTGCATCAAGAAAGTTTATCTGGGTTGAGATTGGATTAATATGATATTTTTTTGTTTCAATTAAAATTTGAGTTGAGTTGAATTTGTGCAATATTTTTTAAATTTAATCTAATTTAATCTTATTATAAATAAATTGAATTAGGTTGATTAATTAGTTTAATATAATTATATTTATTTATTTTATAAAAAACTAAATACTTTAAAATAAGTGTAAATTACTTAATATCTATAATATTATCAATCTGTAAAGTAAGTAATGATAAATTAAATTTCAACATAAATTTGTTAATTTATTATATTATTATTAACTCAAACAACTAATATTAATTAATATAAAATAAAATTTAAAATAAATATTATTTTATTATAGTGTATCAATCAAAAAACACAAAACTCGTTAATGAGTAAAAAGTGACAGTAAATATTGGACTGAACAAATGACTATCTTAACACTATTATTATTATTATTATTATTATTTTATTTTTATTATTATTATTACTAGGTCAGCTCACCAACCAAAAATGCAAAACTCATTACATGACTCCTATAGTATAAAATTTTGATTGGGTTGGATCAGATCTAACTCAAATACTAAAAAAATATAATTTAAACTCATTGAGTCAATTAGAATTTGCACGTTATTCATACTCCTAATAAACAAATTACACAAGAGAATTCAATATTATATTTTGATTCAAAATTTTAAGATTTTAAATTTTTAAATTTTTTTCTCCTATAAGATATACTTTAATCATTAATTAATTACTTTATTAAATCATCAACTTTGATATTAATTATTGAAAACGCAAAAAATTAAATAATTAAGAAATTTTTATAACAAATCATAAACAAATTATATAAGTAAATTTAATATTATATCTTAAACATCATATTTATGAATCTTTATTATATATTATATAACATAATGAACTCTATTTAATATAAAACTCTCATTCACATTTATATGTTACTACTCAAACACAAATTCACACGTATGATAACCAAGATAACTTTTACGATGATGACTTAAAAAGTTAAATCTATTATAATTTTTATCATCGGTGGTTTTAAGTTACCAGATATTCATTATGATTTCAATAGTTAGTCTGAAATAGATGATGATGTTGATACTCCACGCCTGTTGATAGTCGAATTAATTATATTTTGCAATACTACTTGTGCTGTACTTCACATACAGTCTATATAAATTTTACATAATGACAATAGATAATATGTTTGGGTAAATCTATTAATTAAACATTTATTTAAAACGCATTTACCACATAAAACTTCATATTACAAATTTGACTATAAAATATACTGAAATAAATTAAAATTAAATTATAATAGCCAAATCACTTTTATAAGTTCAAATAGGCTTTCTACAATTCCTTCCAAACGCCCTCAAAATCAAATAAAAAAAATAGCAATTAAGTATAAATATATTATATAATTAAATAGAAAGAGATTACACTTTAAAAATAAAATGTAGAATTTTAATTTTTATTGAAAAATTAACAAAAATATTAAAAATTATATTTTATTATAGACTTAATTATACTTTTTATTCATATTTTATAAATATGTGATTTTAATCCCTAATATTTTTTCTTTAATTGCGTATTTACTTTAAAGTATTATAACTAAATCTTTATATTCCTTTCTTTCTATAATTTTCATTTCCTTGTCTAAATCTCAAATATCCATGAATTAAGATAAAAAGACAATTTAAATTATCTTTGTTTTTTTTTGCTTAAACTATGCAAAACAAAACATTTCATATATCAACAAATTATTAGTCTAGGTAAAACTTGAATCCTTTAAACAAAATTCTGTGAATGAATCTTGTAGATGGAAAAAAATTGTAATTGAAAGAAAAAAATCTCACTAAAAACTAAGTCAAGTATTTCTTTTTCCCTTCCTCCCTAAACTACATAATCCACGTGGTCTTATTTTAGTCCTTACTGAAATTTGTCACTTCTTATTTACTCTCTAAAAAACATAATTCACTTGGTCACGCATTTCACCTGCTTTCTAATGGATAATTATTCTTTGACTTTTACTATTTACACTCCCTCTTTTGCTGAATACACTACCCCTTCCCTTTTTCATTTTTCTGAAATTACTTAAATAACATTTTATTTTTTAAAAGATCGCTTTTTGCACGGATCACGTCCTCACTCCCTTGTCCTGCTTGTGTTCCACACTCCACTCCTCCCACTTGTGTTCCATGCTGATCTTTTTAACATTATAAAGTGTTAACAAAAAATTTCAGAAAAGTATTTCCTGAAATAGTGATTATTATATGTTAGGGTCTACAACATACTCATTCTGCAGTGTGAAAGTTGAAGGATGTGATGAAATTAAATATATTATGTACAATATTAAGATTAAAGTATTTTCGTTGTATAAATTTGTTTATGTATAAAGAGTGTATCTTAAGAATTTTTAGTGAGACAATTACTAAAAAAATTTAATTGTTATTTTGATCCAGAATATTTTTTAGAATAGTGAACTTGAGTCGGATAGGCGAGCTTTTTTTTTCTTCAAAGATCTATGATGACTTTGATAGCATCTTAGAATAGTATATTTAAATCTAATTCAATCCTACAAAATTTAATTGTAAGACGAATATTATTCGTCTCCACTTATTTTCTCTTTAATTACCTTATCTTTAGTCGACGTGGGACTTGAATTTTTTTCAATATACTCTCTCATGCCCATGGTGCATGTATCAATAGTAAGTGACTCATTTTAATAATCTAGAATAAATGGCATTTTTTAAGAATTTAGGATAACTTTGATACCATCATGGAACAATAGATTTGAGCGATTTGAGCTTAATAATGCTGAGTGTGAGGGAATTTATTGGAAAAAATTCAAATCTCACATCAACTAGAGATTAGACAATTAAACAGTATATAAGTAGAAAACAATCCTCACTTTACAAACTAATTTTATAAGATTGAGTTAGACTTAAATTCACTATTATAAAAGAGTTTATAAATTATATTATGATCATAATCGAAACTAAAAAAAAAAAAAAAAACAACATTGATTGACCAATTCCGTTAATAACCAATTAATGACTATAAGTTTGGGTTGGTAATGGGGAAAGATGAAAATTGTAAAGCCCTATTCCTTTGGTTTGGGGCATTGTCAAGTTGGGCTGATACATACAGATGTACCACTTGGGATGGAAGGTCTTGGCGGGAGTTACTATTCACACCTCCAAAATGGCTATTTAATCTTTCTTCGTTTTTAGGCGTAAAAAAAACAAAAACTTTCTTGGTTTTAAGAAATTATTTTTTTACAATAATGTTTCTGACGTTGGATACCCAAAAATAAAATAAAAAAAACTAATGTTTTTCTACTTAATTTCTTGCTTAAAATTTAAATTAGCTTTCAAATTAAGCTTCTTATCTTATAATCGGTCATTTACGTTCGACACTTTATTTTGGTTATTTTTATAATTAGTCGTCGATTTTAAATTTTATTTTAATTATCCATTTAAATTATTTTTTTCTGGCCATCTTTGTTTTATAATTAGTTACTTTATTTTAATTTTTACGTAAAGCACGTAGATGACCAAATTAAATAGTCATGTTTACTCGCTGAATTTGATTTAATTTCCTTTGTTATTTCCTCTGAACTTATACGTTAGAATTTGTGCATGAAATTTTGATATGTCGAAAATTGTCAATTCTTGACAACAAATAAATAATCACGTAAGAAGGTTCATCAAAATTATAGACGCTAGTTGCTCCTTTTTGTTTTATGATGAGGTATCGTAAAGTTGTGGTTGAGGGTAAGAAAGTTTTCAAGCTTTCCCTGAGAATTGAACATAAATCAAAAGTGGTTAATGGGCAAACCAAAATGGTTAACTTATTGTCATGATTATAGCAACACCTGATTCGTTGAACAAGCGTTGTTGTTTTGTACATGTTGAGGCATTGGATCCATAGTTTCACATGCATTTAACCCTAAAGTTGATGGGCTCATAAAAGGTTGATCTGCTGAAAAGGAAAAGATGGGAGCATGTGGCATTGGCATGGGGAGCCCAAACACTTGTGTATGTTGATTTCCTTGAATCATTGGAAATCTATAACACTCATCGTTACCATCATGCATGCCCATTCCTAACCTCATTTGCATGCCAACACCTATTCCTGAATAAGGGCTCATATGTGGTGAACCATACATGTGTTGCATTCCCGGAGGTAACATCATTGCAGGCATGCATAAACCACTTCCCATTGACATTATCTATGTAAAAATATAAATAAAAAAGGATACGAAACAATTAATTAATAATGGGTCTTGATAAAATTATCATTCAAAGGATCAATGGAAAGGGGAAGAGGGGGAGAGAAAGAGTACTTGAAGTTGTAGTTGAAGTGTTGTAAGATACTCGATCGCGTCGTCCAACATTGAAGCTTTATCCGCCTAATACTCATGAAATAACAAATATCAAAATAAACAAGAAATCGAATATAAAAATTATCGGGATACAATACATCGATAAAATAAAAGAAAAAATAACAACTTATAAAGCACACACATACTTCAATGTTAGAGAGGTCTTTTAGGTAATGATCAAAAGTAAAATCGTGAGAGCTTAGTAAAATATCCTCTAGACAAATATCATAAAATAACCCAACTAAAAATAGAATTTAATTTTGATTCCCTAATAATGATAAACGTTTTATACTCTCGTTAACCAATTATATTATGCTACAATTAAAATATTTTATATTTAAGATAGGAATTGAAACTCCATAAACGCTAGCTCAATCTTAAAGAGGATAACGTCTATTATTTTTTATTTATTAAAAATATTTTTACTTGTTAAATAATGTTTATTTAAAATAATCATTAATTATTTAATAGTTAATATCAGTCCATTAAAATAACTAAATATTTTTTTAAAAAATTATTATAGCTGATTGTATGTTAAAATATTTCAAATTTCATGAATTATGATCCCCTTCTTTCTATAAACTGTTTGATCCTTGAATTCTAGCTGGTGTTTATTTAACTATTTTGAATGTCTATCTTGTCGCATATATATAACCTTTATCAAGTTATTGTAAAAAAATATTTCCACAATTATTTCAAATATTAGTCACTAATCCTACGCATAGTACAATAACACATTAACACCAACATAGACTCATAGAAGATGGAGAAATCATCATTTTTTTTTTTAAAAAGACTTAATCTTAAAACTTGCTTTCAAGATTATATAACTTTTTGGACAACTCTACAAGAATCTCCACCAATGATTTGATAATAACATTCTAAGTTCCATCAAATGAAACAGACCATAAGACATCCAAATGAAGCTTAAATCCATATTGATAATTAAAAATTCAAAATACAATAGCGTTAATAAGTTTCCGACTGTACCAAGCATAAACAGAGAGAAGAGGTAACCTTATTGCAATTTGGTATGAGTTCTTGTAACGTACGCATCTTTTCATTAATCCTGTCTCTTCGTCTCTACATAAACAAATCCCAAAAATTCATGATCACATATATCATAAACAATATAATTAACATCCACTTAAGATATAACATTTGTTATAATTTAATTAAAAACAACACAAACGGAAACAGCTTATGGTCGTGCTCACCCTTTCAGATAGATTATGCACTTCAGCTGAACGGTTTCTCTTGGAGCCAACACGTGGTGCAGGAACATCCTTTTTAACACCAACTGATTCTTCCTCTAAATCCTGCAATCAAAAGAAAAAAGTTTATAATGAAACACTATAAAAGAAATAAGAAAAATAATATAACACAAAACTTCTATTAAAAAAAAGGCTAATTCTAAGATACTAACTTCACTTTGCCACTCAAAGTCCTCAGTGTCTCTACTTTTTTGCTTCAAATTTTGATTTGGGTCACCCGAACCCCTCTCTGCACCATTGCCAGAACAAACAGAGGAAGAGACTATAGTTGGCTCCACATTTTTTGCAGCAGCTTCTTCTCCTTTATTCTCACTTTCACCAACAACTAGGTTTGAAGTTTGACCAATCTTGGATATATCTTTCCAAGAAGGGTCACACTTTGTAGAAACAACACCATCATGTTCAACAGATTTTGGCTCTATAACTTGATGACGATAACTATGTGTGCCTAATTTCTTTGGTTCATCTGGATTGGTTGCAGTTGCAGCAGCACCTCTATTCTTTATTCCAACACTTGCTGATCTTGATGTCAAGTACTCAAGGTTCGCTCTGACCATAGCAGCGGGTTTTGCAAAATGGGAAAAATTCATCACGGTGGAACTATTGCTACACATAGTTAAACCTTGCCTCTCCATCTTTAAGCTGGAAAAACCACTTGAGAAAGATGGAATCTGAGTGTCTTCCCCTTTTGTGTTGTTTTCAGCTATATTTTCTACCCTGGATACAGATGCAAATGAAGAGTGTTTATGAGTGTCCCTAGATACCTTGTTACAATTATTTCTTCTATCTAGCAAAGAAAAATTATCTGAGGATGAGAGGCCATTCATGGTGACCCCAGATAGTTGATGGAATAAATCAGAATTATATCCATGTTGCAAAGAGTCATCCACTCCATAATTCCACCAAGGCATCACCATGTCTTCCTCTTTTTCACTTACATCCAATTCACCACCTAAATTCTCATACTTCCCTATCCTTGTATTGGTAACATTATTAGCATTAGCATTAATATATCCTACTTCCCTCCTTGGACTGTGAGATGGAAAACTTTTACAATTTGGGTTCTTTCTAGCTCTGCTGGACTGACCCTGCACTGAAATCTGACCCTTTTCCCAAACCAGCTCAAACAAATCATTGTTGAGTCTGCCATAAAAATTTAAAAAAAAAGAAAAAAAAAAGAGTTAATAGTCAGAGAAGCACAACAAAGATCAAATGAAATGAGAATAACAAAGACATGCTATTGCACTTACGTGGAAGATTGATCAACTGTACCACATGTGTTGTTGTTCATCTCTTTAGAATCAAGTTTTCCTTTAGCCACGTAGTATAACTCATGCAAGGGGCATGATGAATGAAATAGAAATAATGTAAAGAAGCACTCTTATACAGTAATAAACTTTTAGTCACTGTTGGCGTTGCATCCGACAAAAATACAATGTTAACTGCGAACCACAATCACCTTGGAGAGCCCAAACACGGAAACCTGACACTGTCATTACAGTGAGGGCATGGCAATGGTGTAATTAGTAATTTGCACGTCTTATCAGTTTATGCCTTTGCATGTTTTTTATTGAATGGAGTGTTCTGAGGTCTTTAATCTTTATAGCCAATCAGACTTCTTAACTGATACTTTTTTGACACGTATCATTTTGAATAGATACCATGTTGTCCCCACTCCCAAAGTGTTCCATATCTCGGTATTAATTATTTGATTCAAGGTCACATCGTTGCCTAGTCCTTGAAATCAAGGTGGCAAATTTGGTGTGGTCCTCGCTTAGACAACTAGGATTTTTTCAGTACCAAGGTGTTTTAATGCAAGGGTGAGCAAGAAATTCATTGAGATTGTACCGTGGTGCTCGAATCACATCATCAAAATGTGAATCCAACATAGACTCCTTACACTCTCGTGTTTGGATCTGGAGGTTATGTATCATGATGATTTCCTATTAATTGACCTGAAAAGCATCTTGGCAAAATGTCGAGTCAGCATTTGCATCACAGTGCTCGAGTCTGAAGGACTCTTGATCTTTTGTTGACTGACCCATTTCGACAAAATACTGAGTTCATTGACCAAAATATCTCTGGGAAAAATGATGAGCGTTATATATAGAGAATGCCTCAATTTATTTTATATGAATGGAGACTCAAATATGGGTTTATTCACTTGCCTACAAACGTCAAGATTTACAAGTTCATAATAAAATGTGATTTATGAAATCATAATAAGAAACATAGGAATTATATATGTAATATCATACCATTATATATACGGACGATTAGGTCTAAGAAATTAGGTTATACTCATCAAATATTCAAGTTAAGTTCTTCTAGCATTGTATTGTTAAGGATTTTTTGATATAACCATTATGATGGTGATAATGTCAAAAAATCATTATTATTATTATAGTTGTTATCATTACCATTATTATCTTTGTAGAATTAAATTTGACATTTTCTAAATTTTAAGTAAAATGATATATAAGTTCTTATATATAAACATTTATAACATAAAAATATAAATAATGGATGAAGTGACAAAGGTAGTGTGGATAATGCTCATAGGGATTATTTATGAATTAAATGTTTTAAAAAATTCAAACTGAATTCAATCTATTTTACAAAAAATATTTTGGTTAATCAAACTAATTTTTATAAAATAATTTGATTCAATTTTCTTAAAAAATGAATAGAATTTTTTTAAATTAAATCAATTCGATGTAAGTTGATTATCTACTTTATATTTATATATGAATCAATTTTTAAAAAAAATAAATCAAACTTAACAATTTTATAAAAATTGATTGGTTAATGAAACCGTTTATTTGTAGTGAATGTTTGAATTGTTTTATCTAATAGGATGAACTGAAGTTCCCAAAAAAAGATTTTAATCGGTTTGGAATTTAGAAGTGGAGTGCTGATACGGGGACGTCAACTGAAGTGGATTGAACATGAGTGTGAAACATAGGAATTTGGAATTAGGAAATGAAACAAAATGTGTCACGTGAATTTCACTCAGGCACGTGAAATCCCACTGCTCAGAGCCTCAGAGACTTCATCTTCATTCTTCACCCATCACTCATCACGTCCTCTAATCTATGGTCCACAAATAAAAGGATGCCCCACATTGTTTTCCTCCTGCCAAATCGCTTTCTGCATTCAAATTTAGCCACTATTTCAAAAATTACTTCTGAAAGGAGAAGTACGGGTTAAATAATTACAGTTTTTTAGGTTATTATATTCCAATTTTATTCTATTTATTCCCTTTGTTAATAACTACATTATATTTGAAATTTTAGTTAATTATTTTTAGTAATTATATTTTTTAATCGTATTCTTTTTCTTTTTTACAAAAATATGTAAGACTTTATTTAAAATATTTGACTTCGACTTATTTCAAACTCACTATATAATTATATATTTGAATAAGTATTTATTTTCCTCTTATCAAGAAAAAAAAAGTATTAATTTACTGTCTAATTAAAATAGGGATTAAATCATTTTCTGAATTAAAGCGGTGAGATTTTATTGGATAAATGAAGAGTAAAGTGTAGCTACTAGCTAGTGAATGAGGATGTGATAGTTATTTTTGTGCATCCTCCAGAATATGGCCACAGGAAAGAACACAGCAGAGCAAAACAAAAACGAAGCCCATTTCTGGTGATTCTCCAACCGACTGAACATGACTGAGCCGTTTCCTTTATCCACCCTTTCATGCTCCATTTCCAAAACATCCTCCGCTGTTAGCCCGTCTTTGTCACAGTGCATCAGGTAGTGAGGAGGAACAATGTTTCTCACTCGCTGCTCCCATACTCATAACACAACAAATTCAACTATTAGTTTCTTTTCTAGCTTCAATGTTGCATTGCATGCACAAAAGACTTATCTATAGTCATCGCCAGTTACAAATAAAATAAATCATTAGGGTCTCACTATTACCACTTTATAGTCTAGATCAATATTTATGTTTTGATTCATACAATATTCTAAAATGGGCAAGTCAAGAACTAATCTATGCTTGCAAAACATGATTTTTACTATTCAGGTATTATTTTAATACTGATGAAAATCAATCCGGAAAACATCAGATCGACCTCTTATGTCTTAAGGTAAGACTTACAATCACTGGATTAAGAGACTTGATTTATGTAACACATATTTAGAAAGCTTTTCATGCATTCAACTAGTATCACACAGGGATTAGGGAAGACTATGATGGTTTTTTTTTTTAAATTAAGAGGGTAACATGTATAAAAAAATTATTGCATAATCGTATATTACTCGTGTGTGTGAATCATTGGGATCAGCCTAGTGGAGGGGTTGGAGTAGTACGCACATGGCCTAAGTTCAAATGATAAAAACAACACTACTCATGTGTGTATAGTTCGAGTCAATCTCCACTTACAAGCGTCAAAGTAGTTAGAGTTTTATTATCTGTTTTTGGTAGAAATTGGCTAGGATTATATATAGTGATACGAGATCATATAAAAATTTCTTCTAATTAGGGTGAGGTACGTGGGTGCTTACCTCGTACCAGCGCAACTCATCTTGGAGTTGGAATGCGACACCAGGAAGGTGCTGCTCTACGTAAAATTCCATTCTCGAAACTTGGTGCAAGAGAGTGCGACCTTCCGCAGTTATCCGAAATATCAGTGATTTAAATGCTGAATGTTTCTTTAACATGTTAAAGATTTTGAGCTGACGGTGCTTCACAGCCATGTGCAGAACGTTGTGCTCGTCCTGGCTAACGTGACAAATGGCCTCCGGATACTTGTCAATAATTTTCTCGACGATTTCCACAATTCCTGAGCCAGCTGCCATGAGAAGTGGCGTGTAGTTTTTAGAACAGTGAATGCTTGTTGCGGTGGTTATAGGTCTGTAACTTCTGGAACGGAACATTTCACTGTTGGTCTTATGCATCTCCTTCATGTGCTGAATGTGTTTTATCCTGTCTGATTTGGAGGAAAGAATTGGCAATACAATCAAGGGTTGAAAGTTCTCGTGAAAAGAAATCTGCCAAGAGAAGTCCCTCTGCACTAACAACTCAGCCAGATGCTCTGCTAACTTGTGCTGCTTCTTTCTTTGCCAAATGCGTCCAATCCCATCGAACTCTGCAACGATCATGTATAAAATTGATCAAACAGAAACCAATTATAAGACACGCTCTAGTTAGTTCTGTAAGAAATTAAACTGTTCCTTGAGAATGAAACAGTGTCTTGCCTTACCCATGTTAAATCAGATGGCAGGAAAAAAAATAGAATAAAACATTCGTTAATAATTAAATATGTAAGTTGTCATCACCTTTAGCCAGGGTTCTCCAAATAGCATAGTTGATCCTTGAAAGAACTGCAAATTTGTGAAATTTTGTTTAGTTAACAGAGACATATATTTGGAATTTGTATTTACCATTATGAATTTCATGTGCTCAATTGATTGGTGTGTTTGAATGAGTGTGATTATATCTGCACATTAACAAGCTCTTCTCTAAAACTAGAATTACCTGAACTGGGGACATTGGCCTTGTCTTGTTGGCCACTTTCTATATCACTCCTCTGTCTGAAGCCAACCACATCATCATCATCCTCATCCTCATCCTCATCCTCATCATGAATTTCATATCCTTTCTCAGGAAGCACTGTGTCAGTCGGATTTCAATCAATGCACCAATGCATGTTGTATACCATTACATAATGTATGTGAATATGGGAAAATGAAATGTTGAGAGACATACAGTAATATACAAGATTCTTCTTTGTTCCCATGGAAGGGGCTTGGCTTCGAAATACAAGCGGCATATTGGATAGAAGTTGAAGACATGTCATTCCATTCATATCCTTGTGTTGAGCTAGTTTTTCATCCATATTCAATAACCAAATAGCGACATCTGTACCAGAAAGAGACACTTAATATTCAATACTCATTGATTCTTGTGATCCGGACACAAGAAATAAAGCAACAACCAACAACTATCTACCTACTTATATAGTATATAAGGTGGCAGTGACATTTTATAGTATAAAAAGAAAGGGGAAGAAAAATTAAACACTTGTTCTTTTCATAACTTTTCTTTTAATTATTTGTGAAGTATTCATTAACTTCGGTATGTTGCAAACTTAAGTGACTTCTTTTAATAAAGTTCCTACTCATAATTATATTTTTTTTCATCCACAAAACTTAAACATAAACATAAGACTTTATTTAAGAAGATTACGTTCAATTTTTATTTGGACAAACTACTTATTAGTGTGTCATATATATAGAAAGAGGGGGGGAGGGAGGGGGGATGAATTGAGACATGGAGGTTCGTACCAAAGAATTGTCCAAGAATGCTAGCGTGAAGAATGGAATGGTTATCAAATCTAACAAAAAGCCTTGGTATGTGACCCTCAGCATGTTTGGCCAGAAACTTGAGCATCTTAAGCTTGCCTAGTTTAGCAGCTCTGAAGAGAGGGGTCTCACCCGAGTCATTCACAATCTCTACCAGTGGCAACCCTTTCTTTTCCTCTGCTACCTCTGGTGGCGGTGCTTCCTTCTCAAACTTGAATACAACACTCGCCATCTCCACCGCCGTGCAAAAGATGATCTCATGCAGAAGGGTGTTGTTGACGCAATTCCCCTTCCTCAGCGCATGCCACCTGTCCTTCACACTCAGCACTTCCAACAACTCCCGAAGGAGCCGTGGATTGTTGGAACGAGTTGCAATATGAATGGCAGTGTTCCCAAACAAGTCAAAAGGCTCAAGCAAACGTTTCGTGTCTTTCTCCAAGATTTTCTTGAACTGTCTCCAGTTTCCACTCCTTGCAGCTCTTTGAGCACGTATCGTTGTATCATCAAACATAGACACTTCTCCCACTGTTCCTTCAGCAATTGTCATTTCTTCCCTCTCTTTCTCTTTCTCTTTCTCCATTGCAACAATTTATGTACCCACTCATGCACATGCTAGCTATAGCCAGAGTGCTGAACGTGTGTATTTTTTTTAAACTTGCATTAGTGCAAATAAAAGGGTTTATGTGTGCACAGATTCTTTGATTAGTTCCACAAGGAAAGTTTCCTGCACTCGTTCTTCCTTTAATTTATTTATCATTCTAAAGCTCTGACACATCATTCTTTGCTTACATGACTAAAAGATATGTAATCCGTGTAAACAAATTTATATCAATTTTTTCTCTTATATTCTTTTAATATTTAACTTCCATATTTTCCTTTTCCTTTTCTATTATACACATATCTATGTTGTCTCTCTTTATTACTTATCTAACATCAATTGTCTGTTTGGTTGTGACGAAACAGCAGAAAAACAGAGGAGAAAGCGAGGAAATTTGAAGGAGACGGGTAGCATGGTAGCCACTAAATAAGTTGGAAAGAATTAAAAAGGTGGTGGTCCCACTTGATTCTTGACACGAGTGAAAAGGGAGCTCAGTAGCAGCTGCCTCCACCAGTGTTCATTTTATAGCATGTGTTTCAAATTCAATCACCAATAATCTCTACAAGAGCACGACCCATTTGTGAATCGATGAAACCTATTGATATCTCTTACAATAATTTCTCTCTCAAAAATCTCTGAAGCAAACTTCATAACAGTGTGACAATCACCACAGGTCCTCAAATTCTTCTTTATCCTCACCGGGGAGCCAGGTGGGAGGACCAGAAGACCAAATGCAAGGGCTAATTTCTCACTGTGACACCACAAACTCTGCTCTTCAGAGCCTTCCACACTGTTAGTTGCAAACTGGGTCTCAGCCACATACCCTCTCCTCTTTATCAACTCCTTCAACTTCTGCAACATTTCATAAATCTCTTGTGTCCTTGAATGTGACCTATCATTCACATTGAACACAAAGGTCCTGTTCTTAACATCAATCCAGCTACACCCAGTCTCTTTCCTCACCCCATTGATCCCCATCAATCTTCTAACCTCATCAGCTTCTTCCAACATCCCGTGTCGAGTATAAATATTTGAAAGCAGCACATAGTTTCCTGGATTATCCGGCTCCAACTTGAAAAGCTTCTCAGCAACCTCTCTTCCCATTTCAACATTCCCATGCTTTCCACATGCCCCAAGCAAAGCCCCCCAAACCGACGAATCAGGCTCGATCGGCATCGATTCAATAAACCTCCATGCTTCCTCCAACCGACCAACCCTACCAAGCAGGTCAGCCATGCAAGCATAATGCTCAAGCCCAGGTTCAATGTGATGCACATTAGCCATGGAATTGAAGTACTTGAAACCATCATCAACCTTCCCCGTATGGCTGCAAGCCGACAACACGGAAACAAAAGTAATGTATTCCGGCACAACCCCTTCTCTCAGCATCTCCTCAAACAACTCAATGGCCTCATTTCCACAACCATGTTGATGGCAAACTGCTATCATAGCCGTCCAACAAACCACATTACGGTCCTTAACCTCTCCAAAAACACGATAAGCATCGAACAAGCTCCCACATTTGCCATACATAGTCACCAAAGAGCTCAAAACACAAGCGTTTTTCAGATGCCCAGTTTTAAATACACGACTATGGATCAAGGTGCCTTGTGCCAACACTGCAATACTTGCAGAAGCTTGAAGAAGAGAGGAGTACGAAGTCTCATCCGGTTCCACGCCTTCCCTTATCATATCTTTGAAAAAGTTGCAAGCTTGTTCAAAGTTCTGGCTATGAACGCACCCCATGATAATTACATTCCACGTAACAACATCCCTATCTCCACCATCACAGAACAACTTTGTTGCATCTTGAAACACCCCACACTTACAATACATGTCCACGAGCGAGTTCTTAACGTAAACCAAACCCACCAAACCACGCTTAACAACGCTCCCATGCACCTGCTTCCCAAGCCCTAACGCAACCAACCCGGCACAAGCACTCAACACGCTCGAGAAAGTAACTTGGTCGGGAAAAAGCGAAGTTTTTTGAATAAACTCTTTGAAAACCCCAATGGCGCAACCGTAGAGCTTGTTTTTAAGAAAGCCAACAATGATGGAGTTCCAGGAAACGAGGTTTCTGTGGGGCATTTGGTCGAACACATTCTGCGCCAGCGACATGGAGCCACATTTAGCGTACATGTCGACCAACGCGGTGGCTATGAAGGTGTCGGTTTGGAAGCCATGTTTGAGGAGCAAGGCGTGGATTTGTTGGCCGTGGGAGAGGAGCGGCGCGTGTGCGCAGGCGGGTAGGATAGCGGAGAAGGTGAACTGGTTTGGGTATATGAGCGTGGTGCTTCGCATGCGGTTGAAACAAGCTAGGGCGCGTGAGGGGTTGTTGGAGTGGGAGAGTTGGGATATGAGCGTGGTCCACGTGACGACGTTGGATGAGGCGTGAGGGGTTGTGGCGAACAAGAGGAGAGTGTGGTCGATGGAGCCGCATTTTGCATACACCAAGAGGAGGCTGTTGATGTTGCTGACGGAAGCGTCGTTGGTGGTTACGATTTGGGAGTGGATTTGTGTCGCGTGTCGTAGGCTCTTGGATTTTGCGGCGTTCTTCAGGAGGTACTTCACCCTTGGAACTCTGCATAATTTGTCGGGTTTTGGGACGAGGTTTTGGTTACTGTTGCTCATTCTTTTGATTAGCCACGAGCCAGCTTTCATAATAATCATCACTCCATCACTATTTCCCACTCTTTGTATTTTCTACTTACTTCAGTAATGAAAACATTGGGCCGGGCCTTCAAAATGTTACATTGTTAATTACCAATTACCCAATCTGGGTTCGCTTTCATAATAAAAGCTATGGCTATCTGTAAAGTAATATAGACTTTTGTAATTGCCAGTAACGTGACTGTGTTTAAAAAAAATTCTCAATGATAGATAGAAAGATAGGTAATGCATGTTTATGAAATAAAATAATTAAGTTTTTAAGAATTTGAATTTATATTTATGAGATCTTATAATATATCATAAATTACATAAATTATTCGAATGCCTTTGTTTTTCATAATCTGATATCAACCATGTGTATTGCCTTTTTTCTTGGAATCGAATTAAGCATAAAGCGATTTTCTCTGCAATTCTACAGCCGAACATATCTATAAAAATATTTTAGAATTTAGATTATTCCTTAAAGTATTAACAAACTAAAAAGAAAAAAAAGAAGCAAAAAAAAGGGTCAATCCACGTTCACATGTGATGTGAGGACAATTCCCTTGATTACTCCATACCATTGTGGTGCATGCTGAGAAAAATATAAGTATGAGGTAGCTGGGCTGGCACACGTGATGGGCCAGTTTCTAACATGCAATGGAATGTGTGGTTAGCTCAACCACAAAACCTAAAGAGAAAATTACATGCTTATAAAATATCATCATACCTTGTAAAGAAAGGACATGATTACGATGCTATATTACAAGACAACAAAACGCTTCCACAAAATGCTTTTCTTCTACTTATAAATACTTACTCTACATTTATTTTATTTAACCAAAGATTAGGATTCTATTTTATTTTAAACATATGATTGTGACTAAAAATATCATTAGAGACCGATCAATAATAAAAATATATATATATATATATATCTCATTTTCAAAAAAAAATAATGATTTTTCTCTCTTGTAAATTTCATAGACTTTTATTTAAAAAACAAATAAAAATACTAGATAAATTATTTCTAACTTAAATAAATATGTTTTCCACAGACTAACATATGAATAGGAATAAAAAAATATTTGTTAAATTCATATTTGAAATAGCTAAACCTAAGTAAGTACACCCTTTTATTTATACTAAAAAGTTATAAAGTCTTACTCTTTAAGTTTTATATTTTAATTTATAATATGATTATTTTATTTATAGAATAATATAGATAACAGTAAATAATTAACGAGAAAGTTTATCTATTAACTAAAAGGAGATTTTAAAAAAAAATGACGTAGTTGTCACATGCTTGTATCTCACTTTTCATTTGATCGATCTTTAACTTTTGATCACACGAATCAAACGTGAGCTGTCCCTAGATGAATCTGTTGCAAATGCTAACATCCCATGTTTTTAATTAGATGTCCCTTGTTTTCATTATGTTTCGAAAATAAAGATTGTGACATGTTGGAACGAAATGAAATGATCATCACAATCTAGGCAAATTTACGTGGCACGCGGTTAGGGAATCGCGTGCTTGTTGCTACACATGCGATGCGATAGAGCATTATAAAAGTGTTAAGTCATTCTTTAACATTTTTAAATATTATTTACTGATTTAAATTAATATATTTTTCACTAAAAAAATAATAAAATGTACTAAACAAGAAAAAATTCTCACGTATTTAATAAAATTTAATACAAAATCTATTATATATGTACGTGATACAACTTTCAATTTGTATAATCGTACATAAATGCTTAAAAAATAAAAATTATTTAACGATCGCGTGACTGTTTAAAACAATCATGTGCATTATTTTTTTTTCAATATTGATCATTCAAATAAAATTTAATAAATGCTTTCATTTGATAGATTGTATGTATGCATGTATGCATTATAAATAAATTATTATATGTATTTTAAATTTTATATTAAGATTAAGTCTAGATTACTCTTTTGATATATTTTTTTTATTTAATTGTCCAGTTTGGCTCCTTTAATATTAAAAGGTTTAATTTGATTCTTTAAATTTTAAAATTAAATGATGTGATATTTTTTAATCTAATTTAAGTCAGCGACATTATATTCTTGTATATTTAGTAACACGTCTCATTTTTTTTATAGTCACATGTAAAAGAAAGTAAATAATAATAATAATAATAATAATAATAATAATAATAATAATAATAATAATAATAATAGTAGTAGTAGTAGTTTATATAAAATAATAAAGAACTAAAACATGCATATATTTATTTTAAGTATTTTTTATGTATTAAAATTGAATTTAATATGAGAGAGTTTACAATAACTTACATGTCTTCATCAATTAAGTTGAATTTAATCCTGATTATTTATTTAAGTGTTTATTTACTCTTTAAGTATTCGATTATATTTATAACATATTAAGAGATATTTATTATGAGGTTTGACTTTATATATATAGAATTATTATTATTATTATCATTACTATTATTTATTATCACCTTCATCATCATCATAGTAGAAATTATTACTGTCTTTATTTTTTATTTTTTAAATTTAAGTAGAATTTTATTTTTATTATATGTTATTTTTAAAGTTTAAGACAATAATAATTATATTTTTATCAATTACATCTTTATATCTTACTTAAATTTTATTTAATTTACATTTTATTTATTATGAAATAAAAATAAAAGAAGTTAAAATAAAAAATATTAAAATTATTTTATACAAAACAATTTTTTTATTATACATTTCTTGATTTATGTCGAAACTTTTAAATAACTATTGAAAAGGAATGGAAGCAGTAATTCAAAACTTTTATTATACTTAAACATTAAATATTTTGATTGCTAAAAAAATTAAGCATTTATCAAATGTTTTCTAATTATTTTTTTATCATGCAATGTTTTTATATTTTGAATCTAATTTTTTTATTATTAAATACTACTATTTTAGTTATACTATGTATATGATAAATATTTATTTTATATAATATAAATTATAATAAATAAGTTCTTTTGAATATATAAATTATATCATAATAAAAAATTATAATAGATGTTTTCAAAAAAAGTATGATAGATATTTTAAAATATTAATTATATTATTTATTTATAATAATTATTATTATTTATATTATGATATAAAATTATTATTAACTATTAATAAATTTATTTAGATAATATTAAAATAAAGAGAAAATATATATCAACAGAGATTAAAAAAATTAAAATATTTATAAAAAAAATACTTTTAAAAAAATACTCTTCAAAAGTGATAAAATGGATTGAGTGTGTCTAATTTGTAAAAAATAAAATAAAAAATTATAGGACAATAAAATGGGTTGAATGTGTCTAATTTATAAATATAAAAAACGATAGGGTATGTTAAATGATTCATCCTACCGACTTATCTCGTCTAATCTGTCAATTGAACATGTTGACATAACATAATTGAATATTTATTAAAAAATAGTAATAAAATACGACGTGAGTTCTAGATAAAGTACGTAAGAGACATAAAGTTAAAATAAATATACATGCATCATCATTAAATAATAATAAAAAGTGTCATAATTTTTAAGTTCATATTTTTCTTTCAAAGTAATATTATTTTATTAACATTATTAAAACTTTACATTTATTATATTTTTCAATAATTCATACAAGATTTAAAAATTTTAATCTTCAATCTCATTATTTTACCCCTTATATATATCTAATATCAATTCTTATATATTAAAATTGAACATTTTATTTTGTAATTTTTAGAGATTCTTAACTTTTTATAAAGTTTGATTTTATTTATCATAATTATTTATAAATTAAATTTTAATATTTTAAAATATTTATCAATAAATAAAAAAATTATGTTATAATATAAATTATTTATCATAAATTCAAAATATAATTTATATATTTAAAAATATTTATTTATACAAATTAAAAATATAATTTAGATATTTAAATAGAATACTTATATATAATAAATATTTAAAAACTAAAATACTAATTTAAATATGATGTTGGAAAATGTATTTTTTATTTAAAAAATTACACTAATATAGAGCAATAGAATCCAAACGTAGAAAAAATAATTATTTGTATAAATAAAATTAATTTAACAATAAATGATACTTTAATGCATTAGGAAGTGCATGAATGAGTTGACACTAAAACGTTTGAAGTATAAATATGGAGGTGCATTAAATAACTGAATAAAAATTAAATAATTAATAGCCATAATAAATTTGCAGCGAGAGCAGTTAAAGGAAAAGTGTCTTTTGTTAAGAGAAGAAAATCACCTCAATTATTAGATGTTGAATTGAAGGCCTATAAATAAGCAGTCTTCACCCACCCCCAAAGTCATCATATTATGCAGTCCCAACAGTAGCAAATTCTTTCTTGTATTTGATAAGTACTGTGAGAGATCGAACATGGCCGACGATAGCACAGCCACCTGCATCGACATCCTCCTTGCCATCATCCTCCCTCCTCTTGGTGTCTTCCTTAAGTATGGTTGCAAGGTATATATATATATATATATATTCATTGTTGCCTTAATTATACTTTCCCTTTTTATTTTCTTTCCTCTCTCTAGCTATGTGTCTGTAATTATTCATTAATTCTCCATATATATATATATATATATATACACAGGTAGAGTTCTGGATCTGTTTGGTGCTTACCCTTTTTGGTTACCTTCCTGGAATTATCTATGCTGTCTATGCTATCACCAAGTGATCATCATCTTTTGTAAGTACCCCTTCACTTCAAATTTATTAAACTAAACTACTACTATATATTACTACTTATGTCATGCATCTGCAGATATTTATTAATTTGTTATTCAGATCCTAGTACATGGTTTTATTAATTTCTTATTTATGTAAGATTTTATTTTTGTAAGACGGGATTTTGGGAGGTGTTTCCTCTTGGTAATTAATTATCTCAACGCCTGTGGCTTGTAAGGTATCCAATATATATATATGCCTTATCCACTCCCAGACCACAGATTTATTTCTATTCTTTACCAGCCAAAAAACGAAATTCACAATCTCAGACTCAGTAGAACATATCTTGCCACAATTTTTTTGCGTGTTTTCATTTCATTCGTACAAATTTGAGGTGTGGTTAGGACACTAATTACTTTGCTTTTCCATTCAGTAATAAGGTGGACCTCCTTTTTGTTTTATGCCAATGAGGTGGTGGACCTAATTCTACTCACTACTGAAAATCATTGCTTTTGTTTTGTTGACAGATGGACAATGAATAATTTGTCAAAGGACGATGGTGGTTAATGGTTATGCATGTTTCTCAACTCTTCTTCTATGATCGTTTGATCCCAGATCGACAAAACTTATTCTTTTCTGTTTAATTATCACTGTCGATATTCCTTTTCATTCTTGTGTTTTTGCTTTTAGTCACTGTTATTGTCTTGTGTGGAAACCAAAATGTATTCATGTCTTAATTTATGGTAATCATCAAATTCAAATATATATACTACTTGGTTAGTATATATTACTTATCTTTTTCATATTTCTTAGACCTTCATATTTTCATTTTTCTTTAGTGACGCGTGTTAACAATCTATTTCTTAATTAATTTCAAATTAGTAACTTAGAGCACGTGTTTTCGCTAATTAAGCAACGATAGAGATCTTGTATATACGGGCTTCGTTCATCATATCGCTTTCCACAGATTCTTTCTTATCTTGCTAAGAGCATTACTTAATTAATAAGATTAACATATGGATTAGTTGGACCATGCAAAATGGACTGCCACGACAACTTACAACGGAACATTTAAGTTAGTTACGCATAATGTACGTGTACAATTGGTAAAAAGGTCTTGTATTATGAAAATGATTGATAATGTTTTGTCAAATTAAATATACTAAATATTTTAAAGGAAAATCTATTATGACAACATAAACTATTAATAATATAATAGTTTTACACCATCAACAAATTAAATTAAATAAAAAATTAATTATTCAATAAATTTATATATAGGTCATGTTCACAGTATGCTTGTTTGGTTTGACGTTTCAAAACATTTAATCTGCCCTAAATAGGTAATTACCTCTTGTCAATGGGGCCCACATGTATATTTTCGCTTTAAACTAATTATTGTTTGGTGAATAAAATTTTAGTTTAATTTCTATATATATTGTGACTGTAGTTTTTTTTTTTTTTTTATACTATGAACTAATTTAAAATTATATTGATATATTATATATAGTGAATTATGCATAAGTGATAGTATAAAATCGATCTATACATTAAAAATGGGCTATTTTATAAGTTTCTCTGTGAAGCCTTTCCTCAAAGAGTAATATTATTTCATTTAAAAAGAGTAATTTTTTTATTTATACAATTTAGAGTGAAATATATCGGTACTGCTTGAGGTTTTGATGCATGAAATTGCACAAATGACACTTACTTTTTTTCAACCTTCAATAACCACTTTTAATTATTTTAAAAATCACATTAACACTCTTTAGATATTATATTAATCTCCTTAATTATTCAAGAAATATTATACTATGACTCCTTAAATCTCAAACGTGTGGTTCAATAATAGGATTGATTCACGCTTAAGTAAAATTAGGTGTTCGGATCCTGTCTTATATATGGAGTAACGTTAAAAAAAGCATAGTTTTAATATAATTTTATGAAATCAGGTAATTTACTCTGCAATCTATCTTATTTCATGTATATATATATTATTTCCCTGCTCACTAAAGAAAGTGGAATAAAAAATTAAAATAAAAATGAAGTCACTTTCTTAAAAAAGTAAGCGTCCAGATGCAATGTGAATGTGGAGTGCAGTTGGCAGAAGAAAGTGAAAATGGTCAAAATTTTATATTAATGAAATACGGCCACGAGACACCTGCTTCTGTTGCCTGGGATGGCAACCAAATGTCGTAATTGCGTATCAAACTTGGATTTCCATTTTTTTATTAATGAACTAACTTTTTATTCATCCTTCAAATCACATATATTCTTACTTTAATCATTTCAAAATTTTGCTCTTTAAATTATTTTTTCATTTTTTTATTACAAATTTAATGTTGTAAGAATTTTATTGTCAAATTACTTTTAAAATAGTTTGCCATTAAAATATATTTTTAAAATGTTTTATCTCTATTCATTATTTCGTAGAGAACAATAATATATACTTTCAAAAATTGTAATAAAAAAAAAGAACAATAATACTTTCAAATAATTAAATCCGTAAATAATTGTTTTAATATTTATTATTAATGTTAAAATAAATGAATAGCTGAGATTAATTGGATTATAACACTTTCCAAGTTTTTCCGATTGGCGACAATGTGTCAGCTGTATTGAGAAATTAGCAACGGACAGTGGTGAATAATTAATGGGGTAAAAATACTTAAAATACTTTTAATCCTTTAGTTTTAATTTTGATTTTTGTTATTTTAAATTTTTTTATGTAAAATAAAAAATTTTCATTTTTAGTATTTATAAAATACTCTTTTTTTACTCCTTTAATATGTGAAATCATTATTTTTCTTCTTTAACTTATTTTAGACAACTTAAAAAATTAAAAGTATTATAAAATATAAATTAAACTCAAAATCCCAAACCTTAATATAATATCACAAATACTAATAATTGACATTTCATTTAATAGGAAGTGATATTAAGTATGTTAAGTTAAAAAAATTTAAAAACACAACTAATAAAAAAAATTAGAAGAAAAAATAAAATAAAATTCTTTCAAATTATTGAGGAGATTTAGTTTGCTTGATTGAGGAAAGTAAATGACTATTATAAGTACTAAATTCTATTTTCATAAATGAAAATAACTTTTTTAATAAATTAAAATCAACTTATCATTCGCCGTAATTTTACATAGTTCCAAATTCCAATATAATTTGATTCTTACAAAGGATACAAATGTGTGTGTTTGTTTTGTATGTGAAAGAATGGGCTTTAGCCCAAATTTCTTTATTATCTGGATTTAGGTTATTTACTGAAGCTCTCTTCCTTCAATTTATGCTTAATAAAGAGGAACGAATCAAAGAGACTGGAAGAAAATATATCATAATTAATTAGATAAGAAATAGGTAAAAAAATGTAATAAAATGTAGTGAGATTTGTAATTGATTAATAGAATGAAATTATGTGAGAATATTGTGAAATTTATAATTATAAGATTATATTTTATATAGTTAATTTTTTTATAAATTAAATTATTGAAATAATTTTCTATTAAATAAATGTGTGAAATAATTATTTTGTAATTTATAATTAAATTGTAAATTATATTATTTAAAACTAATTATTTTTTATTTCAAATTTGAATCTAAATTCGATGAAAACGAATTTTTCCTATCAAGTTGCATTTCTATGAAATGAAAAGAAATACTACCAACTTCTTACCATGTTCTTTTAAGTATATTCATTTTTATTGGTTAAATTTTATTAAAAATATAAAATTTATTAAGTTTCACATTTTTTTTATTAATTTTTTCTCATGATTTGATGGTTTTAAAAAAAATCTAACCAATAATAATAAATATATTAAAAGAATTGTGTTAGGGAAGATGTTTCTAACTATTCCAGTAAAATGAAGACATGTTAATTTAGATTTAATTGTCATACCTAAACACAATCCCTTGCCAAGTTCCATTCTTGGTCATGGGTGTTGGAATTCTTGGAACATATATTACAGTTATATTTAGGCATGACAACTTAACCCGTTCTCGTGGTGGGTACCTATCTGAACCTGTCCCGATTTAGACGGGAAAAATTTGTGTTTATCGGAATCAAGTTTTCCTTGATTGATAAAATCGGGGACGGAGATGTTAATACCCGTCCCGTCCTCGTCCCGCTTAATAATATAATTAAAAATTTATTTATATATATAAACTAAAATTATAAATATTTACATGTAAAAATTTGTATTATTTTACTTTATTTTATTTTTTTTATAACTTGTTCATATTTATTTAAAAAAAAGAGAAAAAAAAAAGAAGAAAAGATAGGAGCAAAGGTGAGAGCGAGGCGGAGAAACCCAAATCCCACCAAAAATAGGAATGAGTATCCTAATTTTATCTTCAGCGAGTATCGGGACGATATTACTATGGCTAAGCCTATATTACACAAAGCTAATGAAATATTGGCCAAAAAAATCAGACAGCCCAATTAAGAGAATAAAGATAATTAAGGGAGTTGCAACACGCCTGATTTTGAACTTCTATAATTTTTGTCAGACTAAATTGAATCAAAATAATTATTAATTAGTCTATTCACCATCTAATATTCTAATTGTTTAATAGAATTCAAAAAATCACTAAAAATTTTAATTTACAAAGAGCCCTCCAAAACTACATAAATAGTATATATTTTATTTACAATAATTTTATCATTAATTGCAAACACAATTATAAGATAATATGCAAGATGCAATTATTAAAATATTTTTTTTTATATTTGATATATATATTGAGAGAGAGCCAGGAGCTCTTAGTTCTGTCCATGTATACATCCACAAAGTAATTTTCCCTTTCTATTTAATAATTATTTTCTTAAGTGTTTGTAAACATTAACGCTTTTTATTTTGTGTGATAGACTGATAGTAAATATTTAGTTAACAATTTATTATTTATCTTCATTTAATAAATTTGAATGCTCATTTTTTTTAAAGTAATTTTTTTTTTCTTTTTCACTTCGTGATATGAGATTTGAGATACCCACTTGGTGAAGTAAATATTCTTTTAATGTATTTGACTAGTTTAAAAGTTTAGTAAACTATACTTTAATTCTCTTAAAAATATCAATATTACATTATTTGTCTTTCTTAATTAAAAATTACAATATTTTTTTTAACAGATTTTAATATATAACACTTTTTCTATTTTTAAAAAATATTTTATTAAAGTTCTGTTAATTTCTGTTATATATATATATATAATATTATTAAAATATTCTTTAACATCCAATAAATTTTTTTAATATTACATGGTCCTCCTTTATTGCCTATTTAATAAAAAAAATTATCTTAATACCATATATTTTTTAAAATATTACTTCATATAGTGTTTGAACTTATAAGCTCCTACTTTGTTTTTCATTTTATATTTACTATCTCATTAATTATAATTCCTTTGTTACCTTTTTAATTTCATAAACCATTGGATACATACTCTCTATCGCGTTTTTTTTTTTCGTTGTCATTTGTTCACCGTCCCCCCATTCAATTTTGTCTTGCTCTTTCTGTTCAATTTTTTTGTGTAATTCTTTGTCTTACTATATCCTTTAAAATTGAAATATCTACGATGTAGCTAAAGTGCTAAATTATTAGCCAATCAAATTGTATTATTTATTCATCCCAAAATTATTAATTATCAGTATCCGTCACTTGGAGCTCTATAATGGGCCAAGTGCTTTAACTTCCATCATCAGCCCAATTTGGAAGTTAAACTTAAAAGACTCTCTTTCTAGTTTATTATTTGAAGACCCAAAATCTAAAACTTGCTGAA